GCACCAACGCGCAGGGCAGCCACTGGAAGCAGAAGAGGAAATTCCTGGTGAGGGCAACGTGGGGCCCTGCACCTGCCCCCGTACTGCAAGCTGAGCACTGGTGGTGTGCCTGTTGTGCACAGACTGGTGTGCCCGTTGTGCACAGACTGGTGTGCCTGTTGTGCACAGACTGGTGTGCCTGTTGTGCACACGCTGCTGCACTCACTGTGCACACTGGTGCCACACGCCGTCCCCATCCAGCTCCGGCTGCCCTGGCACGCTCAGCGCAGGCATGGTGGCCACACTCTGTCCCCATCTGGCACCGGGATCGTGGGCCTGGGGGTGTCACTGTCACTGTGTGTCCTTGAGCGTGTCACCCCCGGGGAGGGTTCGGGGTGAGCGGTGACCGAAGGGGACAGCTGTGCCTGCAGGGTGGCCCTTCCCTGTCCCCGTGCGCGCTGCTCCCCCTCCTGGCTGCCATCCCGTGCTGCCCTGCCTCAGTTTCCCCCGTGAACCCAGGGAGTGGGAGTGGTGCCAGCCATTCTGCCCCTCCCATCCACCCCTTGTGCCCCCTGCCCCCAGCCCGAAGACATCGGCCAGTCGCCCATGGCCTCCATGCCTGACGGGGACAAAGTGGACCTGGAGGCGTTCAGCGAGTTTACAAAAATCATCACACCGGCCATCACCCGCGTGGTCGACTTTGCCAAAAAACTGCCCATGTTCTCGGAGGTAATGGGGGGGTGAGGGGGGGGCATTGGGTGTGGGGGTCCCACAGCCCCAGCAACACAGCTATGGGGGGATAGGCGGTATGGGTTAGGGGGGGTCCTGCAGTTCTGATGGCAGTGCTGTGAGGGGGGATGTGGGGTGTGGGGTTCTGGGGGGGCACTCATAGCACTGTGGGGAGGGATATGGGATATGGGGACACGGGGGGGTCCCGCAGCCCCACTCACAGCGCTGTGGGCGGTTATGGGATGTGGGATATGGGGCTGTGGGGGGGTCCCGCAGCCCCGCTGATGTTGTGCCCCACAGCTGCCATGCGAGGATCAGATCATCCTGCTGAAGGGCTGCTGCATGGAGATCATGTCGCTGCGAGCGGCCGTGCGCTACGACCCCGAGAGCGAAACGCTGACGCTGAGCGGGGAAATGGCCGTCAAACGCGAGCAGCTGAAAAACGGAGGGCTGGGGGTCGTGTCTGATGCCATCTTCGACCTCGGCAAGTCGCTGTCTGCCTTCAACCTGGACGACACCGAGGTGGCCCTGCTGCAGGCCGTGCTGCTCATGTCCTCAGGTCAGCGCCCACCGTGGGCTGGGGGGGGGTGGGGGGTCAGGAGCCCTCCAGCGTTGGACATGAATGAGGTGCACACCCTGCTCCACAGAGCTGCAGCTATTGGGGGCGCAGGGGTGGGCACCCCAATACTCAAAACCCCAACATTTGGGGGCACATGGGGTGGGCACCCCAATACTCAGAGCCCCAGCATTTGGGGCACGTGAGGTGGGCACCCTGATACCCAAGGTCCCAGTGTTTGGAGGCACACGGGGCGGGCACTTTGATATCTGTAGCCCCAGCATTGGGGGGCACAGGAGATGCCCCCCCCAACGCCCAGAGTGTTTGGGGGCGCAGTGTGGGCACCCCAGCGCCCAGACCTGAGCATTTTGGGGGCACCTGGGTGGGGAGCAGCAGGCAGACACCTCGTACGCACCCCACACCCCCCAATCCTTCACCCACGGGTCGGACACCCTTTGAACCCCCTTTTTTCACCTCCCCTGCAGACCGGACGGGGCTGATCTGCGTGGATAAGATTGAGAAGTGCCAGGAGACTTACCTGCTGGCTTTCGAGCACTACATCAACTACCGCAAACACAACATTCCCCACTTCTGGCCCAAGCTGCTGATGAAGGTGACGGACCTGCGCATGATCGGCGCGTGCCACGCCAGCCGCTTCCTGCACATGAAGGTGGAGTGCCCCACCGAGCTCTTCCCCCCCCTCTTCCTCGAGGTCTTCGAGGACCAGGAGGTGTAGGGCCCCCCCCCCCACCGCCGCGCACCCCTCGTCCCCCAGCCCCCTCCCAAAACCCCACGCTGTGTGCAGCCCCCCCCCTTCCCGCCCCCCCCCACACACCCCAATATTTCGTTCTCTGCCCCC